GTCCCCAGTTCTTCCTTTGCTGCTGATGGGCCCCCCCTCCCCTGCTGCTGCCCTGGGAACTGTCTGAGTCCGGTTTATTTCTGATCCAGCCTCCCAAGCTGCCGCTGTATGTGTGGAGCAGCAGCGCAGCTTGAGCTGGTTTAAGCAGTCCTGGCTCCCTGTGCTTACAGCGTAGCAGCTTTTGTAGCTGCATAGCGAACCGGATCAGCGAACTGATCTGGCTGGAAAAAAGCCCTGCAGAAACAGTTATTAACTGGATCAAATTCCAGCCGAGCTTGCCGTGTGGCTGCACAAGCTTTCCCTTGCGCCACAGGGGAAGGAGGAAGGGTGGGGACCGCTCGAATTGGCACTGCTGCATGTCCACGGCTGCGCTGCGGCCTAATGGACGTCTGAAGCCAATTAGCTCAACTGAAGAGACTCTGACTAACTCTGGTTTCACTGCTGCCATGGGATCTTGATCCCGGAGTATGAAGAAGTTGCTATTTACCACTGTCTGCCTGAAAACAAACAGGGTTATGTTCCTAGCAGTTTTTCTGTCTGGCAGAAGGTGGGGCTCTTGTATTCTCTGCTGCTGGCTCCTTGGTGCTGCGAAAAATGCTGAGAGAATCCAGGAGAAACTGCTGACTTGAGGAAGCGGTGAAGGCAGCCGAGTGCAAATCCCAGGTGGGAAGCGATTCAGCCTCCTGCTGTCTTGTGCAGGCTTCTGTGATCTGCAAGGATCTGCAAAGAGCCCAGGGCTGTTTCCCTAGATGTCTCTCTGCGGCCAAGCATCCCACCTCCTGTAATTTGCTTTCATTCTGAGCACGGGCTGGGAGTCCCCTTCCCGGCCAGCTGTGGCAGAGTTCACAGCGGGTCTGTGCCATCTCGCAGAGCAGCGGGCCTCCCAGGAGCGACTCGGATGAGTCTTAAGAGCCAGACAGCCGCCATGCAGAGGTGCTGAGCAGGACACCTGAGCACCTCCTGAGTGTCAAAGAGCTGAAGGGGAATTTCCTTCCAAACGCCTCAGAGCAATGGCTGAGGTTTGAGGCGTTTTGCTCCCATGAGGCACCTGCGCCTGGCTGCCGGTCAGCAGCGTAGCAGGAAGGCTTTCATTAAGGAGCTGAGCCCTTTGAAGGACTGTGCTGCAGGTCCACTCTCCTCTGCCTGTCGGTGCATGCTGGCTGGAGGTCTCGGCACGGCACAGATGGGATATGCGAGTGCAGTTCTCTGCCGGCAGTTCACATGTGATTGAGTCTCTTGGCTTCCCTTTGTCTGGCAGTGTGATAGCTGGTCTTTCACACACCTGGAAAAGCTCTGGTTTACTAATCCTGAGCTGCAATAAATGCTTTGTCTGAGAAGCCTGAAGGGCAAGGTTGAGGCCCTCATAAAAGTTTTGATGCGATTAGGAGCCTCCTTCCTCTCTGGCTGCATGTTTGGAGAAGCAGCCCAGGCGCTGTGACCTGTGGCGAGATGCAGCTGCTGCGCGGGGGCTCTGTGCGGGCTGGGTCGCAGGGTGCCTCTCCACCCTCGCAGCTGGCCGGGGCACGGGAGCCCGCTCCTCTCGGGAGCACTGCAGTGGTGCAGCCTGCTCAGAGGCGTTGCTCTGCCTGCTGCTCCTGGGGAAGGCTGTTGGAAGAGGTGAGGTGGTATTTCTCCAGGGCTTCCTCAGAGAGCTGAGGCGCAGAGGGCCTGGCCTGCGCGGCTGGTTGGAACAGTGCTTTGTGTTGGTCTGAAGAGCTGTTTTCTGTCTCTGGTGGGCCTCCATCGTTTTAGAGATCCTGTGAGGACTCGGGTGGTTCTTGATTAATCCCTGTGGTAGTGTGCGTGATTGTTTCTTCAGCTCTGGATCACAGGATTAAGGCTAGAGCCATAGGAACACAACCGAAGAGCTGGGGACTTGGGGTTTTTTTGGGGGGCGTGGGTTTGTTGGTTTTGGGTTGGTTTTTTTTTCTGTGCCCTCTATGGCATGGCTGTTGCTAAATACCTATTTGTGAGAGGGGTTGCCCTAATGGAGCTGATGAAGATTGGGTGCTGGTGATGTGTGGGAGGAAACTGTTGCCCCACCTGTTACATCTGGAGGTTGATTATCAATGAGTGGTAGCTCTCTGCTTGGGTGAGACCAAACTAATGCATTTCTCAACTGATCAGGATAGGATACCTGATCCTGGAAATCAGCTGCTGTTTCGGCTGCTAGAAATCAGTACTGTTTGACGCTAAGGCTGTTCCTGTGCAGAGTGCAGCAATCTTCCACACCCGACCCTGCTGTAGGGAACTGCGCTGTGGTTGGCACTGCTCTGTTCACCTTGCAGTGCTGATCCTTTGCTGCGTGCGCAGTGCTGGCTTCGGCGAGCTTTGGTTGTTGGAGGAGAGGCTGTCTGACGGCTCCTGTGGCCTGTTGCTTGCAGGCTGTGCTGATCAGGCTGTTTGATAGAAGTTTTATCTCTGCTTGGTCTGAAAATTGGAAGATGGTATTCACCTGTGGACGTTAATGCTGCAGAAAGGGACCTGGCACTGTCGGGGATATGCATTGGGGATACTGGTGGATCATCTGCCATGTGTGCGTCTGTTTGTTATATTCATGCTTCCAAAGAGGGCTCAATTGCAGAGAGTTTGGGAGTCAACAGAGGTCAGTGACTTGGGACTTCAGTTCTTTAAAGCTCTCACTGAAAGTCTGTCATTTCCACTTCCTGAAAGCTACAGAAGGAAGGTCCAGGAGTTCTTCAGCGTACAGAGAATGACCTGTAGTGCTTGGGAGGTGAAATCTAGCCTGGAGGTGAGACAAAGGACTGCAATAAGGGGATCAAGCAGAAGGGGATCAAGTAGATGTGTGAGCTAGTGTTTGTTCAACACTTCTGGGAGTCTTCAAGGCTGGAGGCTTTTCTGTACAGGAGCACAAAGGTGACTGGGTTTGATATGGAGGTACCAGGGTGAAATCTAATCGGTTGTTCAGGTACGACATGAGATTAAATGGCCTTTTGAGTACAAATTTCCATGATATTCAGTGACAGGATATTGGAGAATGCTATGCAGAAGGGCCAGCTGTTTGTTCTAAAGTGCAGGGGTCAGCACCAGCAGTTGTTTTAAGTGCGAAGGTACAATGGGAAAAGCTCCCCTACACAGACATGCTTGTGCCACGCAGGGCCCAAGCCCTTGTCATAACCCCGGAGTGTCACATCGTCCCCCCACCTTTGTCTGGTGATAAATCTTAGTCAGGCTTTAATATCCAGAAACACCAGTTGCGTCCATTGCAAGTATCCTGCCCCCAGGACCCCCCGAGAGCCGTGCCAGCCTCTCTGGGGAAGCCCTGCCAGCCCAGGACAAGTCAGCGTGCCTGTTCTCGGGTTTGACAGCGGGCAAGGAGCGGGTCCCCACCGGGGCCCTGGCTGCAGCTCCACCTCAGCACCCCCTCCCAGGGAGCTGGGCCGGTGCCCAGAATCCTGGCAGGTGGCCGGTCACCAGTTCTCCCTCCCCCTTTCCTTTTCTCTCTCCTCTGCGTATTTGCTGATAGGTCTGCTGTAGGCTTCTCTTCTGGTGGAGGTGTGCAAAATTTCACTTTTCTGTGTCTAATCTGTCTCCTTTGCCCTGTTCCCCAACAAAGCATTCATAATATTTATGGCTAAAAATATTAGTGGAGCCCAGGTGGCACCTCCACTGTTCTGCTATTACAGCCATTGCCAGGCTCGACCTGGACATGGAGTAAGACTGGCTCCAGTATCTGCAGAACTCGTCTTGCGTCGCTATAAAACGTGCTCTGTAAACTGTGTGTGATTAATGTCAGCACTGAGGTCTGTCTTTCCCCCTCTGGGTGGCACATTGGGTAGAAATGGAATGATTGAACTGTGTGCTGTTATGTCAGCTCAAAGACAGAAAGAATGGATGATGGTTACCTTATTTAGCGTAACCCATATGAGAAGCTTCAGGTGCATGTAGATCGTAATTAAGCCTGTATTTAAGTACATTGTGTGTGTTTGTTGTATTTGTAGCAAATGTTGTAGTTCTTGATTTATTTGGAAACTCGATGCCAGAGCAGTGAATGCGGTTCCGCAGTCTGTTGTGAGTCGTGTATGCTAGTGCAGAGCTCCCAGCGGGAATATTGAGCAGGACGCGGGAATGGCAGGTAGTGACAGAAACACCTGGATCCATCCGCAGATCATTTGTGAAAGATTTTGCTTGTACAAAAAGCCTTTCAAAAGCTGTCACTGAAAGAGTTTTTTAGAGAGTCCAAGTTGATATTTGCTGTAGGATGACCCTTAGGACAGCGTGCCCTGTGGAACATCAGGAATTCTGAGGATGTCGTTGGCTTTTACCAAGGTTTTTAACGGGGTGTTGGCATCGCCTTTCACCAGCCCTCAGTGTGCAGCTGGGTGGTTCCTGATTAGAGCCTTGGACAGCCGAGCCAAGCTCCGCACATGTTTTTAATCCATTATCTGTCTTGCTGGCCGCGTGTGATACAGATCTTTGAAAAGGGTCTGGCATGAGATCAGCTGAACCATTCCACTCCTCCGAGGCACCCAGCGCAGAGCGGATTGATCTGATTGAGTTACAGACTGTGAGCTCCAGATTGCAGCAGAGGCTCCTGGTATTTGTGCCAGTGGTGGGGCAGAGGCCTATTCTTAGCTGGAATCGTGTAGAGCAGAACTGAACTGGGTTTATTCAGGGCTCAGGTTTATTATGAGTGAAAGCCTCACACGGTTGTTCTTGTGGAGTAGAGCGTTTTTTCTATGGCTTGGGGTATTTACCAGCTCATGAGTAAAGCACCGAGGTTGAATTTTTCCTACCCTCTGGCGTGGGCCTCCATGGGCTGAACATGAGACCTGGCCTACCGGAGGAGTCTGCGGGGCTGCGGGGTACGGGCATTCGGCAGGGTTGTGTCCCGTGAAGGGCCCGGGGGAGAGGGAGTCACGGTGGAGCAGTTCTGGGGAAGCCTGGTTGGTGCTGCTGGGAAGGAGCCCGTGCTGGTGGAGTAGGTAGGTGCAGTTACACCTCTCCTCCCTGCTTCAGTGTAACTTGCGTGTGTGAGGATGGCAGAGCAGGAGCCAACAGCGGAGCAGCTGGCCCAGATTGCAGCTGAAAATGAGGAGGACGAACACTCTGTCAACTATAAGCCACCTGCCCAGAAGAGCATCCAGGAGATCCAGGAGCTTGACAAGGATGATGAGAGCCTGCGCAAGTACAAGGAGGCACTGCTCGGTGCCGTCACTGTGACTGCAGGTGAGCCCTAGGATGTGGCTGTGCCCCGCTTGAGCCAGTCACCTCCGGCCTCGTCCCTGCTCCTGCCCGGCAGCTGTTCTCCCAGTTCTTTGTGCTTCGGCACGAGCGTAGCCGGGAGCGTAAAGGCACGTGTCTGCACTCCCCCCACGCTGATCTCTGGCCCTTGGAATAAGGCACGGGGACAGGGGGTGGCACTCTGCCTTTGGCGGGGTGGTCTTGGGGAGACTGTGGGCTGGGCCGAACACGGCCGGGAGCCCAGACTTTCACTCAGGGGGATGTTGTTCTCACTGTTGTTTGTGCTCTTTCAAGAAATGCCCTGGAAGTAAAATGAGTTGTGTTGGTTGGTATTGGGGATGGGCGTTTAACAGCCTTTTTGCTTGTCTTTTAGATCCCAATGCTCCAAACGTGGTGGTGACCAAACTGACTTTGGTCTGTGCTACCGCTCCTGGCCCTCTGGAGCTGGACCTGACAGGTGAGCTAGGACAGAATTCCAGCCCTTCTCCCAGGTCAAAGCTGGCTTCGTGTGGAGCCTGGCAGGCGGCCCCGCAGGAGCGCTGCTGGCACGGCAGGCAAGCCCTCCTGTGCCAGATGCAGAGGAAGGTGCCCGGCGCACTGGAGGGTTCTGTACTCTGAGCCCGGCGGCTGTGTCTGCGCCGCAGCAGAAGGCCTTCCTGCTTCCGCTCCCCTGCCAGCCCTCGTTTTGTAGAGGTGCGAGCTGCCGGGCGGGGGAGCCAGCCGTCCTCTAGCCTGTGCAGCGACACTAATGGCAGCTTCGAGATGGTGACAGCCTTAGAGCAAATGTCTACAAAGGAACATTCTTGAATTAACTGCATAGCCACGCTGCAGTGTCCTTTCACAGGGCATCGCTTGCCCGCCTCAGGTAGCATGGGCAGCGTAGCAAGGAGGGTCCTGGCATGCAAAAATGAAAGGGTGAACTGCATGCTGTCCAGGCAGTAAGCATCATCCCCTGCTGCTGCAGATACTGTCCTGATCACCCCTTGCAACTTAAATTCGCCCCAGAGCACAGTACGAAGGGACTCTGAGCAACCCTCTCCCTTCTTTGTAGGTGACTTGGAGAGCTACAAGAAGCAAGCGTTTGTGCTGAAGGAGGGCGTGGAATACCGGATAAAAATCTCCTTTAGGGTAAGAATTCAGATTTGAAAACCGAAGAACACCGGACTGCTGCAATCCCAGCATAGGGAGTGCCTGAGCCCCGAAAAGTGGGGTGATGGAGGAAATTGTCTGGGGTGGGCAGTGTGTCTAGGAGATGTCTTCTACAGTCCTTGCTTGTTTCTCTGCAGGTTAACAGGGAGATTGTGTCAGGGTTGAAGTATATTCAGCACACGTTCCGGAAAGGTGTGAAAAGTAAGTGCTTCTCTGTGACTCGGGTACTGCTTTGTGCGAGAGCTTCCTGCTCTGCTCTGGTGATGGGGGCTCGCCTGCTGGTGCCCCAGCAGCTCATAATGGGAGAAGAGAGTCTTCAGGCATGTCTGTGTGGCTGAGCCCGTGGCGATGTGTGAAGGCTTCTGGGTTTGCTGCGAGGTGTGCGGTCCTGGTTGCACCTGCACCTCTGGGCTTGACGCGTAAGCCCCGCTGGAGCACGGAGGTGAACAGATCGCTGCTGACAGCGGTGCTGGCGTGGGGGGATCCCTCCCTGCAGGAGGAGCCGTTCCTGGAGTGAACGGAGCTGTTAATGTGGGTGATGTTCTTCTCACAGCCCCTCTGTGGAGGGTTGTAGCAGTAACAGACCTTTCATTTGCTGTAGCTTTGCCCCATGTGCAGGGGAGGCTCTTAAACAGCCTCCACACACCTTTTTTTCTTCTTCTAGTTGACAAGACCGAATACATGGTTGGGAGCTATGGCCCCCGAGCAGAGGAGTATGAGTTTCTGACCCCCATGGAAGAAGCCCCTAAGGGCATGCTGGCCCGGGGCAGCTACAACGTCAAATCCAAGTTCACAGATGATGATAAGACTGACCACCTGTCCTGGGAATGGAACCTGACCATCAAGAAGGATTGGAAGGACTAGCCCTTCCCAAGGCCAAACCCCAGAGAGCGTGAATCAGACAGTGGCTACCGTAGAAATCCCCCCCTGTACCAAAGTGCTGACATTGGAACCCTCTTACCTTTCACTCCCCTGTTATAATTTGACCAGAGAGCTCAGTTTTGTAATGCGCCCCCTCCCCAGAGAATCGCTGAGTGCATTGACCAAACCGTGCTGTCTGCATCTGATCTCCAGCTGCCCAGCCCGGGGCCGTGCTGTCCCAGCACAGAGGTGGGAGCACTTGCTCCCTCGCCAGGCCCTTTGCTGCTTCTCACCTTCCTTTATTTGGGTAGGTGCTGAAGGGGAGAGACTCCCGTGCTCTGTGTAGGATCCTGTGCTTGGCTTTCCTGTGCACAGCTCAGGGTAGCTACTGCCTCCAAGTAGCTGAAGAACTTTGATGCCAGGCAGCTATTGAATCTGTTTGTTGGCTAAAATCATGTCCGGCCTGCCCCTTCCACCCAGTCAGTGTCCTGGGAACGCTGGCAGCTTCATTTGTGGATGTTCCCTGTAACCATGATGCCTTAATGTGTAACACGTATCCTCTAGGGAGGGGGCCCTGCCCTTGTTACACTTTTTAAATGCCACCCACCCTCCCCCTGTTTGTTGGCATGGCACTCATCTTGGTCACGCCCCTCATGGTTTATTAGGAAAGATTCACAACTTCCCGCTTTGCTGCTGGTCCGTTCTTCACCCGAGACGGGACATCTCCAGAGGGGAGGGTGGTGTGACATCCCGGGTGACGCCTGGCACCACCCCTGGCCCCGTTTGCATGGAGCTCCGAACTCTCCGGCAGCCTCAGCGCCTCCGAGGCACAGAGGGGGTTGCAAGGCAGGGGGGTGCAGGAGTCACCAGTGTTGCCATCACCTCACACTTCTCATTGCAGCCAAGGTAGCTGCAAAGCACTGAAATTCCAGGACAGCACCTGCCCTCCTGGCTGTTTTGGGCTGAGGATGGACTAGTCTGTTTCTGCAGCTGCTCTCCTGATGCGATCAACAAAGAGCTTGCAATGGACAAGTATTCAGAAGCGGTTAATGCCTTATGTATCTGTTCTGCCTTTAAAATCCGTGCCTGGCCTGTCAGTATTTATTGCCTTGACACTCGACTCCCCCCCCCGTGCCCGTAG